AACTAATTATGAGATAACTAATATACCTTATCGCAGTCTATACTGCCTAATTCCATATCTGTTGTATTAGACATAAAGTAATGTCCGTAGAAATCGGTTGCTCTAACACCTGTTGATGTACGTACTCGCATAACAGCATCAAAAGCAATTGGTCTACTAATGTTATTAATAATATCTGAAATTAATCTTTCACCATCGATATCAGCCTGGAATAGAAATTCCTAGACTATATTTCTGAATATTTTGTTTCATAAAGCAAAGCATATTAAAAATATATTTTACATAGAATCTTTTAATAAATTTGATAAATATTTATATACATTTTGAACAGCTCACCTGGAAATAAGTATATTTATAAATTTCTCCTCCAGTAAGACGACAAATTTGACCAATTGTTGCTATATCTACATATGAATTATTAAAGATAAATAAATCTACACTACAACCTGCACCGACACATTCCTGGCCCAAATTATTATAGATATTGTTCTGCGGAGCTGTGAAAAATAAAATGGTTTACAAAAGTTACAAATCATTCTCTAAATGCTGTAAAATACATACCTAATACCGTTTTTTCTTTGTCTGTTCCAAGTACTTTACGATCGTCACGGTTTTTCAGTTTCCCAGGTGCTTCGGCAATTGGTAAAGATGAATGGAATATTAATAATTTACCTGCACGTTCTGATGCCTGAAATCATAATTATGTTTTATGATAATAATCAATATAAACAAAATTATGTATAATTTCACTGAACCTCACTGAATGGATTTATACTTGATCACTGACGAGAAAAAAATTTATCTACACACTTTTTGTTTTCTTTACAAATTATACATATAACTGCACTGTTAATTTAAATACCTTTAATGCTTCTAATCCAGCTTGTATGGCAGGAGCAAGAATCGTTTCTGTCTCTCGAGTGTCTGCAAACATTTGAGGAATCTGTGTCATAAGGCTGTCGATAACTGTCTCACTCTCTTCGATGTCGCATAAAAATCCATCTAACAGTGGCATAAATACATCTTGAATATCTCCAACAACCATCATTTGTGGTTGAGCAAGACAAGAATTGATGTTATAAAAATGCACAGTATTATTATATGTTATAAAGCCAACTTTCATGTTGCTTTTGGTTTGTCCATCATCAATAGGTAAATTTTTTATTATAGATTTCATCTTTGTACATAATAAGTTTACTAATCCCGATTTAACTGTATTGTACGATACATCAATTATGAACACAATGGCTGGTGATTTTGGAAATATGTTGTCCTGCAAAAAGAATAAACGTATGGAAATTAATAAATTAAATATACATAAATTAATAAATTATATACATATAAATTTATAATTTTAACAATAGATAAATTTAGATAAATAATTTCAATTTTTATTTTGCTTTCTAACTTTCTAAAATATTGAATTTAATTATTTACTAATATATTGTAAAATTTAAAAATAATTTTATTGAATGATTAAATATATTGAATTAATTTACCCTGCAATAATCTTTTGTGGCTATATATTCAAATGTACCCAACGTTAATTCAGGTCTCTCATAACGATCCAAGCGTTGACCTGTGTGGTCTAAGTGTTGGAAATATTCATTTGGAACTAAACATAGATATAAATATTTAATGCAAAAACAAATTGTGAATGCACAATAATTCTTAATTAATTGTTACCTTCTGTAGTTGCTTTACAAAACATGCATTGAAATCTTCGGCCAGCATCAATAAATTGCATAAATGGACACATGTAAGCTTTACAACGTACACAACGTACTGGTCCAATTTCACCCATATCTACAATTGGTGGTTCAAATTCTCCTTTCACAATCCGAGCCATTGGACTTATCACAAGTCCAAAAGGAATATTAGTCTGTGTAAGATACAAATGTATCAAAAAAATGTGAAACAAAATAATAAACTGATTCTTAGTTCATTCTATTCCAATATACCTGCTTTATAAGATCAGCAGTAGTGGGTACATTATACATAGTGGATCTGATGTATCTGGGAGAAGCATTTCCTTGATCTTGAGTTACAAAATTTGTCGTCACCAAAGGTGGTGCCAGACCTTTCTGATTTGTTATAAATACTCCACGTCTTATACTTTGATCATCTTGTATTACTTGAATCTGGATTGAAGACAGTTTGATTTGAGATAATAAATAATATCGGCATATATATAAAATAAGTTGAAAAAATTAAATCCATACTGGACTTGGCATTTGTTCTGGATCAAGCCGTCTAGTATGTTGAGGTTGCAATCCTGGTTGATATCCTGTAGCATTTGGTGTACTTTGATATAGATTTCTTTGATTATTATACATATCCTATAAAAGAAAAACGATTGTCATTCTTTTTTATATAAAAGGTCTTAATTAACTCTTAAAATAGCAAATTTTTTAAATATATACCATTTGGTTAGGATATCCTGGTTGCTGATACGTTGGTTGAAAGCCTGAAGTGATACCAGGTGATGCACGATTCATTCCTAAAGGACTGGATAAATTTTGTCCTGGTAATGGAGGCATGGTAGTAGAGCCATATTGTCTTTGTCCAGGCTGTATTAAACCTGATCCTACAGCATTCGCTGTAGTTTGACCCGGCATTGGAGGCATAGTTGGTAAATATTGCTTTTGTCGAACTTGAGAATAATTGGATCCTGGAGGACTTGCTATAGAATGTCCCATTGTTGAAAGAGAAGGAGCAAATTGTGATGAATCAGACACTGGATCTGTTGGGGGTGCTACAATTTGTGGTGGTAATGGTGGTGCAGAATTATATGGTGCTATTCCAGACTGATGTAGGCTAGCGTTTGGAAGATTAGTTCCATGAGCTTGATAACCCATAGAAGCTTGCCCATGTCCAAGAGGAGGTCCTGTAGGTAAGCGTGAAGATATTTGAGAACCAGGAATACCTGTTACTGGAGGACTCATTATTTGAGAGCGATCCCCTCCAGGTGGTGTCGACAGTAACGGAGAATGCATTTGTGAATTTGATAAATTCTGTTCTCCCACAATCGGCTGCTTTAAAAAGTTTTGTTGATTGTTTATTGGAGGCACAGACGCAGCGTATGGATGCTGCCTTCCTATTTCTGGAATATGCTGCATCTGTTATAACAAAATTTATTACAAATATAAATTCCAAGTATATTGAAAATATATTACTTATGATATGCTATGATATAAATATCTCATTTATATAAGAATAGTACAAAGAAAGTTAGAAAAAAAATACTAATACAACATACAATATTACAAGTTTTATTATTATCTATAATTGTTAATGTACATATATAAAATATACATAACAGATAAGAAATGCTGACAAGACAGTTGAAATAAATAAAATAAAATAAAAATTTAACATGTTCAAAAAGTGAAAGGTAACCTACATGAACAAAAATGTCATATTTGTTTTTAATATAGGTTTTAATATAGGTATAAAATGTGAACATGTTCTATGCATACGCGTAATGTAAATTCTCATTTAAATAGAACGTAAAGTATAAAATTAAATAATAGCAACTAGAAATAAATGCATATGCGACGTTTTAAACCCCAAAATTATTACATGTGGAAACACCAATATCCTTTGCAACAATTATCTTAAATATACGCGATGTACGTACGTTATTTCGTAAAATATATTTTAAACTGAATCATAACAATTCTAATATTGCGGAAAATGTTTACACACGAAATGTATAAGAAATGTACGCGAATGTAACTTGATGTAACTGTCCACTGGATGTGACTGCTGCCGATGCCACGTAAGGCGGCATTGCGCATGCGTCTAATACACGCTGACAAGACACGTCATGCTACAATTTGGACCATTAAAATTTGATATAAAAAAATAAACACACGATATATTTAACGTGTGAATAATAATATAATTTTTTTCAGATTTATAAATTATCTATATACATCAAACGTATTCATTAAATCATAATAATTATTAATAAAAGCAAATTTAGACTGTTTCTGATGTCTAATGTAGAAATAATACGCGGGCGACATTTAAATCTCTATAATAAAAGATTTTTCTATATTCGTTCAAATTTCTCTTTCGATTTGAATTAATTTTACTTAATTTTAACCGACTATATGACACACGGTATTTCTCGATGCATATATCTGCATATATTTTATCTAATATTTGATAAATCTAATATTTCTAGTAAATTATTAGAAATTTTCTCACTCAATGTAAAAAAATAAAAAATACCTCGGAACTGATATTTAAAACTTATCTTTAATATAAATCCGATAGATTTTAAAAAGACATTAATTTCTGTCATAATTATAATTTCAAATCTTAATATATTTTTACTTACTTATATCTTTGTTACATGTTATCTGAATATAATAATTTAAAATTAAATCTTCTTTAACAATAAAGAAATAAAGATTGAAAAAAATCGCTCGATCTATATAATTTATATAGTGACATTAAATCACATATGAGAAAATGTTTCCATAAATATTGTAATATATAAAGAATACAAATAAACGCGATATTTCATCATTTATTATGTAAAAATTATTTTATCAAGAATATTAATGAAATTTAAAAGAAACTTAAATTATTTTAATTATTTTA